CCAAAGGATCACCCCAACATCACTATTTGATGATGTCACTTCCAGGTCCCATCAGAAATGATGTAGACATGTTGCTGCAGCATTGGCTGGGTCTCCTTTCCGCTCCCGGTAAGTCCCCCTCATTCCCCGCCAGTTATCAGGAGGGACCTGGCAACCCTGTGGACAACCCCAGTAGGACTTGAGAGTTGGTGAAAGTTCCAACCTATTTTCATCACATCTGTGCATTCCTGAGCATAGAATGGAAAGCCCTCATTTCTGATGGCACAGTTCCCAAGGATTCCTCATTTTCAATGGGATGGCTTGTAACTATACAACTGAGAAGAGCAACAGGGTTTATAAGCAAAAGTGAATGAGGAGAGATTTCACAGAAATGGTCAAGAACCATGCCATTGGTCCAGGCACAGGCAACAGCAAGGGAGAATAGGTGGAATAAAACTGAGTGAGAATGTTAGAGTTTGAGGAACCAAGGATATAAATGCAGAAGGACTAGGATGGGCAAGATGATGATGATGATGATGATTATTACAATATAGAAGGGCAAGGACTTTGTAGTGGAAGGAGATGAAAACCAGAGCAGGGATTTGTAGAAGGGTGTCATATAGGCTAAAGCAATTACCATTGCACCAGAGGTGATAATTAGAAGGAAGCTTTAATTTGTAGGCAGACTTTGCCTTAGAGATACCGTATTGGTGTGCCATTTAAGAAAAAGAGTGCCAAGAGTACTTTTCTGTATTGGAAACACAGATTCTTAAAATAATTACAGCAAAAAGACTAAGAACCAAGACAAGGAAAAAGGAAAGGAAAGCCTGGGCATTGCTTTCCATTTCATTGGTAGGTGTGGAAGACACAGCATACTATTAAGACTATGCTACAAAAGGAGTCATCTCAAACAACCTCAAGGTATTAACTAGAGAGAACAGGATGGGAGAGCCCAGAGAGACGGTTTACTTCTTCTGCTAGGAACCCCAGAGACTGGCATTGTTTCCCGTTACAACAAGCAAACCAAGGCTAGTTTCCACTGAAGGGACTGTGGGATTTGGGGGTGAGGGGGGGGGAAGCGAGCCAGAAGTCACAGGCACTATTAACACATCTCAATACTGTTCAGAAGCAAGGGAAAAGAAATCACTGTTCCACAGGTGGGTTCAACTGCAGTAATAAAAGCACTATGTAAGACACACTGCCTTGGAAGAGTTTCAGTAGAGCTGAGAAAGGGTTAACTGAGGGCTTTCTGCCTGCAGAGTGTGTGCTCAGACCTAGATAAGCTAGAAAAGAAAAGGGGGAAAAAGCTGGTGGTTTACTTTCTTAAAAGGCTGCCTCTCAGCTTCCCCTGAAGTAAAAGCTCTCATTTCCTATACTAGGCAACAGGTTGCATTACTGAGGAGATGAGCTGGACAATCTAATAGACCCTCTCCTACGACAAAGAGTTGGCCCTATTGGCAAGTTAAGCAGAGAAATTTTCTGTTCAGGCCTTAACTGTTGATTCTAAGTAAAAATCCATTAGGACCAAAGACTAAACATCAGGATATGGTGAATACCTTGTAACAGACATGACCATGAAGCATCAGAGGTCACTTCAGGATAAAGATATGCTAAATGTGGTGAAAATTCCTAATTTTTGCAAGAGGGCCATCCATCCAAGCTAGCTGAATAAACTCGGGCATTCAGGAAAGCTGGAGGAAGCAGGAAAAGAGGAAGCAGGGGTATCGTGAGGATGCCTGGGAACATGTAGTGCATAACATTGTCTTCTTAGTATATTGTAGTTTCGATTGGGTCTTGCTTTTGAAGACAGATGGGGGATCAGTTATGCTCAGCGAAGTGGGAGAGCTGGCCTTAAGCGCTAGTTTGGTTTTGCATGCTTCAGATTAGTGACTAGACCTATCCTATGGGCTTGGCCTGAATTGGCATGCTTGGGACTAGTTTGGTTTTTCAGATTAGTGACTAGACCTATCCATGGGCTTGGCCTGAATTGGCATGCTTGGGGGAAACCAGAACCCATGGTAAAAGGAATGACAGTCTCTGTCAGTGACTGTAAACATCTCCTCAGTGGCCCTTAAATGTCAGGAAATGCCTCTGTTGAAGCAAGTGAAGGAAGGGAGAAGATAGCTTAGAGCTGGGGTGTCAAACTTAAGGCCCATGGGCTGGAAGTGGCCTGCCCATGGCTTTAATCAGGCTCACAGCTCTTCTCTTTTCCCTGCTCCCACTCCTGTCCTCACCCTTTAAAGCCTGAGGCTGCCAAAGTTCCCAGCTCAGTCTGGTCTTGTCTTTGCCTGCTTGGGCAGGAAGCTCTTCTGGGCTTGCAAAGTTACAAAGAAAATATGGAATGGATTTTTCCATTAAGGTGTCTGCACCAATGCTCCCTCTAAGCTGTGGAGTCCTGTGAGCAAAAATTCCACTTTGTGAGCTACTTGCATTAAACTTGTGAGTGAGCGATTTGGCTACTGCATAGATTACTTTGCTCTGGAGCCCTCCTTCCTGAGCTAAGGAAAAAACGTGTGAGCCAGAGGCTTAAAAACTGTGAGCTAGCTCACACTAACTCAGCTTAGAGGGAACACTGGTTTGCACCCAGACAGGGTACTCTGGGACTCTTTCTAGCAATAGAAACAGTGCCCTGGGATGACAGGGCACAGAGTAGAATGACAACTCCTGGGAGTAGCAGCAGTATTTTGGGAATGGAATTCCACTCTAGTGGCCCTCATTCCAATCTCCGAACACTTCTGCTACACCCAGGGACTATCATTTCACTCTGATGGCTGTCTTTCCAGTCCCAGAATAGTCTGTATGGGCCCAGAGACTTTAATGGGAAATCCATTTCACATTTTTTTTTGCAACGTTGTCTGTGCTGTGCTGCCATGTATTTCAATGGAGTGGAGCTCAAGTAGTTTCACTTTCCAGTGTTTGTATACTAGAAGCTGCTTGCTGGAGTTGTCTTCTTGCAAATACAGGGTTGATGCTTTGAGCCAGCTTGTCTCTGCTGAATAGACATGAGAATGGGTGCCTGAGTAAGTACTCTAACCTGGTGTCATGGCTCAGGTGGAGTGTCACCTGACGCTGCCACCACTCTGGTGCCAGGCTCCTCTGAGAAGGCCCAGAGCACCTTCCCAGGCCTCTAAACCTCCCTTTTGGCCAAATAATAGGCGTGAGGACCAGGCAGAGTGAACAATAAAAATAATTTATTGTATAGGAGGTCAGAAAACAAGGTGCAGAATAATAACAGTAAGTGGGTGAATAAAAAAGAAATCAAATGCCCTAACACGTCTAAATATATACTGTCCCTAGCCCACTATTCCAAGTGGCACTAGACTGCTCACCCTTCCCTCAGGATGAGGGTCTCTTCCCTACAGCAGCCTCAGCCCCTTCTGGCTCTGTCCTCTGGGGAAAAGAACAGCTCTTCCTGCTGCTCCAGATCTTTTTTTCCAAGCCCTCCTCTTTTCTTATTGGTCAATTTTGGCTCCAAAACCTTTCAGGGGCTTCTGGGAGTTGTAGGCCCAGCCTCACCTACTTTTGAGTTTCCCGGGGGGGGGGGGGAGAGAAGCTTGCAATGCCCAGCCATTTTGTGTTCCTATATTCAGAGCATTTTATAATTTAAGTTTATAGTTTAGTTTCTGCTGTGATCCTTGTGCTTTTTCTTGATATTTTATTTTTAAAATTGCATTGCCAAATACCACTATTCCCCTATCTTTCCATTTTAGGCAGGCATCTCTTAATGGGTGAGGGAGGTTTGGGAGGTATCAGTTATCAAAGACTGTTAAATACGCAAAATATCGCAAGAGTTTTAATCATATTTGTATTTTAAGTATAAAAAAATTAACATCTTTAGTTGTGTTTGTATCTCTTATAAAGTTTATATCTCTGCTAGTTGGCATTACATTTTATGGCATGCCTGGCCTGGCCCCACAAAGTTCCATTTATGTCAGATCCAGCCCTTGTAACAAATGAGTTTGACACCCCCGGCTTAGAGTCTGGAGGAAATGGAGGTCCCTTCTGCATTTGCCAGCCACTCCAGATTTTCTCAGTGTTCGAGTTGAGGCAATTTTAAGTCCAGCAGGCTAAAACAGCAGCAACAGCAGGCTGAAACTGGGCTGACCACTGAAGGGAGGTAATGTAATGCAGAAAGGGGGGGGTAACTAGAATAAAAAGAAGGTAGGACTCAGTTTTAGTGCAGAATTGGGGGGGGGGACCCAACCCTGGATTTAAAAGTTTGAATTTGATTTTTTTGGATGAATAGTTTATTATGATTTAATATTCTATTTTAGTGCAGAATTACTTGGAGGACACCACGGTGTATATGGATTAAAAGGAGAGTGCAGAAAGGGCCGGAGATAGAAGCAGACAGACGGTCCTGAAACACCTTAATGCTGTAGGATCTCTTGTGGGGGGGCGATCTGGTGTGGGGTAGCCGATCTGCTGCCCTGTAGGAGTGCCTCTGTTATCAGAGAAGCATTGCGTGAAACAGTCGTTGAATCATTTCCCCCCTCGCATTTTAATGTTTTTGTGTATGCACAACAGCACAAGCTTTCATGTGATATTCTCAAGAAGAGAGATGGGTATCTGACAGCTTATGGTGGAGGGGAAGTGCTAGAACCTATCATTCCAGCTCTGATAGACTGTAGCTTTTAACTTTGCTGTCTGGGATGAGTGCAGAAGTGTATGCATACTGAACATCATAATGTCACCCAGGTTCCCCCCCCACACACACACACACTTGTGGCTAGAGATGCAGCAAACTTATCTGCACGTGCTTAGTGAAGAAAATGGGGGAAATTCCAGCTTAGAGTAGAGCAGGGCCATTGAAAAGAATGAGCTGTGTGACAGATGAGCAGTTACCAGAATAGAACCAAGAGGCGGAACACGCAGGAATTACAGGGTCCTTCAGAAGTGGGGGGGGGGGCAGTTTGGAAAGGGAAAATATCCCAAGACTGTGCCATAACAATGGTCTCTGTGCATATTATGTGGGTTATCTCATGAGCACTGACAGTTTCCTTTCTCTTCTGCCCAAGCAGCATATCAATGGGAGCCGACCACCGCCTCACTTCATGTACGACCCATCAATCTTTGCCTTCCGGTCTCTGAGCACTTTGAAGCCTTTGAGCCCCATCGCTCCAGCTGAAGAACCATCGTGTGCCTACTGAAGGAGATACTTGAAGCTCTCAGGAATCATTATACCAACCAACTGCCCACCAGGGACTAGATGTGAGAGGGCATTTGTTTGCAATGAACACCCAAGATCCCTGGTACTATGAGATGGGTGACTTTTCTCTCATGTCTGTTTTTTGTGCCGCTGTCAGTTCTGAGGATCGGCAGAAATGGAATGTATGTGTGTTGGGCAAGTTGGGCTCATAAGCCATAGTGCCATTCTGGAGATGTTACTAGACACACAGGAAGCCAGTCTCTTCTAAAAGGAAAGTGGCATGTTGCACTAATGAGTGAACAGCCACCCATGTAATAGAAAGTGAAGAGTAAGCAGGCTTTTATGATCTCCCTTCCCGAACCTGGTACAGCTGTTCTCTCTGCACAGTGATTTCCCCAGTTGACTAGCTCCTCTCTGAGAAGTAGGAAGAGTTATTGGCTGTCTCTTGACTATCAAGGTCAAGATGGATCTGGTCTTAGCGATCCATGGAAGCTGAGTTTGTTCTGCTTTGTGTGTCCCCATTAAAAGGCTGGCGTGGGAGGTACACCGTGATTGTGCCGCTTCAGACATGGTACAGTTATGCACTGGCACACTATACCCCAGCTGATTTTTTTTTCCATTTGGGGAGGGGGGGTGTCTATGTGATATGCTGCCTGTGCTGTCTGGAATTACAGCAGCATGGAAATTCATGATACGTTGCATGGGGCAGATGTTAGATGGGTGGTAAGGGGGAAAGAAAGAAGGGCACAGCCACGTTAAAATCACTTCTCTGTGGTGGTAGCCCGTATGGCTTTAGAATAGAATGAAACAACGGCCTCTCCCAGGTGGTCACCCTGTTCACATGTACACTGCAGTGACGTGGGATAGCATGACAGGGACCTGTGTGTGAGTGAAAAGAGACTTTGGTTTCATCATAGTTTTAAGTGGAGGAAAGTCTTGGAATACGGTACCATTAGAACTTGGGACAAAAGCTGGCAACTGTTCCTAACCTTGAACTCTTGCTGGTATGAGTGAAACAGAGAAAGGAAGATGGGCATGTTTTAGTATGCACATCTTAATGGAAGGCAGACATAGAACTCTATGTGGTTGCAGTTTCTTTTTCTATGCCATTTATCTTGGCCTGTTGACATAAGGCAGGCTGGTTAAGCATGCTGTTAAAGGGCGCACATTCCACATTACTATCCCATAACACTTACACTGTATATTGGGGGTCTTCGGAACTCAGGTTCTGAACCTCTGTTCTAACACACATGCTGCATTATTCTTTGTCCAGGTGTAGTTGAGGACATTAATTCCAAAGAGTCTTATCTGCATACTAATAGCATCGTGTACAATCCTGTGAACATGACTGCTGTGCAATCTCTATTTTTTTATTTTTAAAAATACACCAAGATTTGTACAAGTATGAACCAGTCATAGTATGGCAGAACTCTTGTTTGCTGTAATTAGGAACGTGGATCTTAGTCTGTGAACATAGAACCTGGGCCCTCTGGCAAAAAGCCCGTCTCGCTTGTTCTCGTCAGCTGGGACCCTGTACTCTGTTACCGCTTGTTCTCTCATGTGAAGTGTCTGTTCTCTGGCCATAGGCACTTCCATGTTTTTCAAGGAGCCTAAATGCGCCTAGTGGCAGAGGAATGTAGTCTTCAGCAGAGGACTGCCTCTATGGCAGACAAAGAGGAGCAGAAACATGGTACAGGATGCAAGCCATTGGATTCTTAAGGCCAGAAGCCTTCTAAGCTGTGGAAGCAACTTGACCCTCCTGCCTTGAGATCTTCATGTAAGGTGATGTCTGCATAGGTGGTGATAGCAGGGGAGTGGTAGGATAAAGGACTCCTGTATTTCTGGGCTTAACTGCCCCAGTCTGTTTGTAAGGGCAATACAGGGATGTGAGCAACCTTCTTTTCACCAGCATTAATGGGGTAAAAAACAGGCTGATTTTTCTTTGCTTACTTTGCTCTTTCAAAGTGTGTTGCTTGTCCCCCTCCCCTTTTTGTTCCTCCAGTGAATGGGGAGAGGGTGTTTATTTTCTGTCTAGTTTTAATTCTAAAGATCACCTTTGCAGGCTCTGTGGTCAGTTGTGCCCAGTGGCAGTTGCCGTCCCTGTGGACTTGGCCTCCCCATAATGACAAGGGTAAATATAACCTGTTTGGCTATTTCTGCAGACTAGGCTTGGCCGATAAACAGCCAGTGTGTGACGTGGTCAGGAAACGTTTGGGGTGGTACTTTTCATGCCCAATGATATCCACTTGTTCCACAGATACCGCTGAATGCGTTGCTGCTTTTGCAGAGCAGGCTGACAATTTCTGATTGGCCTAGGGGGATGCTGTCCCATATGATGCTCCGAGATGAAGGAATGGAGGGGAGATGACCTCTGTCAATGTTGCCTTTTTTTAGTACTTTTGTAATATTTGCGTCTTTGTTCCCCCCCTCCAATCAAAACAATAAAGTTACGTTTTAACTGCTGCTATATTCAGTTACTGTTGGTGCTGTCTTCATTCTGTTAAGCCAACAAGGAAAGGGAAAACATTTTACTCTTAACTGGGATTGTTTGGGCTGTGCGCCAGAAAACATTTCACATCAAGTAACAAGGAAATCCAAACCAGTTGACTAGAATCAGGGAAATGGGGCTGACATGTGACGCTTGCTCCACTGGGCTATGGTAGAAAGATTGCATTTTTTTTTGCCTGCCTGTGTAGGTGGGTGTGTCTGTAGTCCTGCTTAGCTGTACTGAACAGTGATAGTTGAACTTTTCACACAAAGAATGATGAACATCTGGCTCCAAAACTTATGTGAAGCAAGATATATACATTATTCAGTACTGAAGCACAGACAGCCTGTAGAGAAGGATCTTAGAAGAGCCTGAGCTGATTCACCCACGCCATCTGCCACATGCCCAGCTTGCAATGCAACCCCTACAGTCCAGTTACCTTTATTGGCATGTAACCCTTGCAAACCCATATACAAAAAAACCAACAACAACAACAACCACAGCATAGAATAACACTTGCAAAATACAGAAACAAGGAATTACCAAGTAAGTATACCCATCAATTAAATAAAGGGCGAATAGAAATGGCACCACGAAGAAATTTAGCAACAGTTTCTGTTATCTCAAGGTTTGAATTATCAAGAAGAATAAGAATCTTTACGCAATCAGGATATTCTTCTAATTGAGCAAAAATAAAATTTAGACATTTCAGTCGTAGTGCATGGTAGAAGGGGCACTGCAACAAGACATGGGAAATTGTTTTGATATTGTCGTTTGTGCATGGACAACATCTGTCAGAAAAGGGCACACCCTAAAAGCGGCCAGATAATAAGGCCGAAGGTAATACACTGAATCTCGCTAAAGAGCAGGTCCACATGTCACTCGCCACTATTCTACTGAGAAAGAGGAGAGGCTTGCTTTTGGGATCAGATAATGTCTAGATGTAACACCAGGTACTGGAGATTTAAAACTCTATACAGGACACAGGCAAACAGAATTAACAATATTATTTTTACTCAAAATACAAACAAAAACAATTTCCAGCAGTAAAAGCAATTGATTTACTGGGGAACATACAAAAGCCTCAATAAATGTATTTGATCATATGCAAGACTAGGTTTTTTCCAAGGGATACCATAAAAGGGGGAGTACGTTACATTTCCATACATATCAGCTGCTTGCGGGCCAGGTAAGACCCTTGGACGGGCCGCTTCTAGCCCTCGGACCTTATGTTTGACACCCCTGGTCTAGACAATCCCCTGAAGTTTGAGAAGCTTCAGCTAGGGTGAATCTGTGGTTGACATTATGCAAACTTATGCTCTGAACAATGTATCGCATTTCTGTGACCCTTTGTAACGATCAGTTCATCTATCCAAATTGCAGCCATGATAGCTAGAATTGGAACCTTCATGTTCTGGCGTAGTAGACTCCTGAGTGCCAGATACTAATAACAAGGATGGGACAGCTGTTTTCATCATGTCCAACTTGCAAGCATTCCGGGGTGCGGGGTGGGGACTTCTGAATGGCTGACGTTAGGAAGAGAACTTTGTGACTGTCTTTGACTCTGCATGGTTGTGTTTATGTTATCCTGCCCTAGGATTAAATGCAACAATATGTTGAAGGAAGCAAAAGGGGTGGTAGTCTAGTCGCATTCTGGTTTCTGTCTGTGCCATAGCGTGAAGTGCAGGCAAATGGATCGATGAGGTAGAAGAGGTGTAGTTCAGCTAGTTTGAACAGCTGTTCCTATGGCTGAGTTTGACTGTCTGCACAAGAATGAGATTATTTTAAAAACCCACACACCAGAAATGCCTTCTCTTTTATTCAGAAGTTGCTTCACGTAATGAACTTTCAGCACAGCTGTTTGGTGGCTCAACTTGTGGTTGAGCAGCCTGAGCAGTTCCAGTAACTTCTGTCCGCCTCTCCTCATCCTGTTGCCTCTGACTAGATTCATGCAGGTGTTTCCCTTCAAAGATGAAAACAGATTATTTGGTTTCTGAAATGGGAGGGATACTAAATAAAGGTGTGCTTTTAAAGGTCAGTGGTTTGAGGCATGGGGACACCTCAAGATGTCTACAATATTATTTGGAAGAGGAAAGTGCAGAAGTTGTTACACTGGGAATCCATATTCCCTCCAAGGCACAGCTTCTGCTATGGGAATATTTCCTCATCACTTTAGAATTTTCAAGTGGAGACCCTCAAGAAACGTGTGGGATGGTTGTCCTATTCCTCACACCTTTGCTTCCTCCTGTCTCCCTCTATCTCTCTCACACTGTTTCTCCCTTCTGCCCCCCCTTCTCTCTCCTCCATGTATGGTTTGGAGGGTGGAGTCTATGGCATTATACTGGTCTGTAGTACCTCCGCTCCTCAAATCCCACCCTCCCCAGGCTCCACCCCACAAATGTCCAGGGATTTCCCAACCTGGAGTTGGCAACACAATTTCCTTCCCACCCAACAGCCAACCTACTTTTATCTGCCTCTCTGTCTTCAGCTTTCCATCTCCACACCCCTCCCCCCAGCTTTTACCTAGGAAAATTACAGTCTTTCTCCACAGTGGGGACCAAAGCAGCTTACATTATTCTCTCCTCCTTTTTATCTGCACAACAACCCTGTGCGGTTGGCTAGGCTGAAAGTATGTGACGGGTCCAAAATCACCCAGTCAGCTTCCACCACAAGATGGGGATCTGAACCTGGGTCTCACAGACCCTAATCTGAGACTCTGTTACATCACACTGGCTTTCATAGGGTGGCTGCTGATGAACAGTAGCAAGCAGCTGGGCCTACATGAGTCATGCAAATCAGGTGGTATCAAGTCACCCAGAGGGTGCTGCCGAGGGATGCCAGCCTCCAGGTGGGACCTGGGGATCCCCTGTAATTCCTGCTCATTTCCAGACTACAGAGATAACTTCCCATGGAGAAAATGGATGCTTTGGAGGGTGGACTCTGTGACATTGTACCCCACTGAGGTCCCTGTCCTCCCCAGGCTCCTCCCGCAAATCTCCAGGAGTTTCCCAGCCTGGACCTGGCAACCTTATCCAGAATCCCCTGTCGGTGGCCAGGGGGGGAACCTGGCAACCCTAAAGTGCTGGCAGGCCTAGGCTTGGCAACCTCTAAGGGGGGCCTGAAGGAACCCCCCCCCCCAGACTTACAACTGAACTCAAGGCAGCAGAGATCTGTCTCCCTGGAGAAAATGACTGCTTTAGAAGGTGGACTCTGTGGCATTATACCCAGCTGAGACCTCTCCCTTCCCCAATCCCACCTCAAAACCTCTAGGGACTCCCCAGGCCAGGCCCCAAGGCTAAAAGGCCATTTCAGAAAGTATTGGGGGAAATTCAACCCTCCCTGAAGGGATTTTTTTTACTTTGTGGATTTTTGTGCAGACACAGGAAGTCTACTGACTATGTAGGAAAAGCTGTTGGGAGGGAGTGAACCCTCTGTTGGTAGAAATAAGTATCTGCACAACCCTCCCCTTTGGGAATTAGATATATAGATACTTTGTTTGGGGGAGAGGGAATGTACCTTCCTCTCTCCTCCCAATCATCCGCTAGTTCCACTGAGACTGCTCTGTGGAATGCACTCACGTGAATGTCAGGCACTCATGTGATCATGTGCACAGCACTACGGATGTTGAGTGTTGGCAAGCCCTATCCACCCCAACGTCAGTTCCATTTTGTCAAGTTTGAAAACCTTACGACTGGAAAGTTCAAAGCTTCTCCCATGCTATAGCATTAATACGTATTGGGGGGGGTATCCTCATAAGAACTTGCTTGCAAGACAGACCCTATTTACCCATGGCCAACCAGATCCATCTGGGCCTGCAAGCATGAAGGTGATTGGTCCCCTGTTCTCTGTATCCCCCATCCAATGGTATCCAACAGCATACTGCCCCTGAAGCTGAAGGTTCCCATTTAAAGGTCTTGGCTAATAGCCATTGTTAGACATGCCTCATGAATTCATCTGATCCCCCTTTAAAGCCCTCAGAGGTAGTAGCATTGCCATATTTCGTGGGCAGCAATATAGCAATGAGGTGTGTGGGGGGGAGTTGTATTAATAGCATCCATTGTCTCTTAACATAATTAGCAGCAACTGTCCAAACCGTCCCGTCCTTTTGCCTTTTGTAGCCAACACAAGCACTTATTGAAATGGCCAAGCTTTCCAGTATAGCTAACACAGCATTGCATTGGGGCATAGCTCTCCTCTTTCACCATGACATACATATTGCTTATGTTTACCTTTTATGGGAAAAGCACTTCTCCCTCCAGGTGGATGCTCTCTGATGGATGGCTGTCCCACTGTCATATTCGGGTTGTATGTAAAGTTGGCCCTTTGGGGGCAATTGCACAAAGGCATTTGTGCCCCCCCTATGACTGGTCTTCGGGATGAACATTTCATCATCCATCGAGCACCCACTCCCACAGTTCACAAGAGTATGGGCCTGAGGTGAATCGTAGTTTTTCAAGGCTCCTACCAGCTCAGATACTGGACCTGGGGTTCCTCCTGGACATCTGTATCTTTGCTAAACACATTTGGCAGCAGGAAATCTTGCAGAGACCAGTGATTCTCTCACAAGGAGAATAACATTATAACACTTGGGATATTGCTTACATTCTAACTACTTTTGTCTTGATAAACATTTAATTTTCTTAGATTCAGGAGGGTAACCGTGTTGGTCTGAAGCAACAGAACAAAATTTGAGTTCAGTGGCACCTTTGGGACCAACAAAGTTTTATTCAAGGTATAAGCTTTCGTGTGTGCACGCATACAAAATGTATCTACGTATCTGAAGAAGTGTGCATGCACATGAAAGTTTTATTGGGTGTTGTAAATAAGAAGTGGGAGACTGACCAGTTATGAAGGTGCACAGAGAGTTTATATAGTTATAAACGTGAATATATACAGAGATATTTACAGGCTATTGTACAGCATGTCATGCCTTAGTTTATGAGAACTAAGTCCCCATCCACTTTACTAAG